CAGGACAGAAGCACGATTCACAGATCCCGCCCTGAGAGCAGTGTGTCTGCGGGAAGGAGGACTCAGAGGGCCTCTGTGCAGGGGTCCCCCCTCCGGGACACCCCCAGGGCAGAGGGCAGAGCCCATGATGGCAACAAGTGTCCCCAAGGGGCCTGGGACCTAGATGACGGAGGCCATGACCCAAGTCGGGTCTTAACTGCTCCTGGGCAGGTGCCCAGGGCCCCCAAGAGCACCAGACAGTCAGCGGCCAGGCTACCCAGAGACACGGAGTCCCAAGCTCAGATCCGCACATGAGTCCAGGTCAATTTAGCTGTGATGTCCTGGTCCATTGCTGTTCTTTTCTGAGCCCAGAGCTGGAGGGAAGTTACAGGAGTGTCTCTTCTTCCAAGGCCTCTGGTCAGGTTGGTGAACAGCCTCTCTCTGCTCGTCAGCGAGACCCTCAACTGGTGGGTGAAGTGCTCCTGAAGCCCCGGCCTCTGCCCTCGGATGAGAAGCACCAAGGCCCAAGGTAGGGGACAGGTGTTGGCCCCCTAAGCTCCCTGGCAACGAGACTCTCATTCTTCATAACCAGAGCCTGATTTAGAGCCTTAACCCCTCTAATCCAGCTACAAGTCTGGGGGCCCCTGGCCGTGGTAACCCCCCATTGTTGTGGCCACCCTGTTTGCCAAAGCGTTGCTGGTCTGAGTACTCATCAGAACTCCTTCATTTACTGAGGTTGTCCCCACCCTTCATGTTCCCACCCGCCTCCTCTGACCCTCCTCCTCTGATCCAGCCTCCCGCCAGGTGTAGCCTCCAGTCTCTGTTCTTCCCCGAGCTCAGCAAGAGGCTGAGCTGGTCAGTTTGCTTGTGCCAGTGCGATTTCTGTCCAGGTGTTCAGACACGCCGTCTGTCCTTCCCTGCACTGCCTCTGACTAGCAAACGTGCTGACTGTCACTGACTTGTAGTTCCTGGTCCTGAGACAAGCACTTTATCTGCTCTCTAACTTATCCTCACAGCAACCCTGTGAAGCGGATCCCATGCTTGCGCTCCTTTCAGGGTGAGCCAGAGCTCAGGGAGGCGTGTTCGGCACGTGACAGGGCTGGGATTTCAGTGCCCGCTCCGCACAGACCTCTCCTCTGATTCCCCCCACCAAACCACAACAGTCCTTCCTCCCACAGACATCGCTCCTGTTGGTTTCCTGATTTAAGGTGCCCAGAAAGCTCACACAAACAACTGAAGTCTCCTACAGGAAAGGGGAGAAAAGTCTGAACCCTCCTGCTAAATTAGCGGGGGCCTGGGGCTCTTGGAGGGTCGAGACTCCAGGAAGAGTGGCCACACAAAGGAAAGGCGACTCAGGAATCAGGATTCTAGCCTGGGCTCTGCCCCGAACACTGCAGACCTTGAGAGGACACCTCCCAGCCAGCTGTATGGCTTCAACCTGAGGATCATTCCCTTCGACAAACATTGGTTGCTGCCTTTGATGAAGGGGCCAGGAAGAACAAGTGACTACAGCAAGAGATTCTAGAGGTTAAAGGAGCCTGTGAGAACCAGGAAAGGTGGGGTGGGCTTTAAACGAAGGGTGGAGTCCTAATCAGGAGCGGGTTGGGGAAGGGTCTTCCTGGAGAACAGCTTTGGCAAAGATGGAGGTGAGAGAGCTCAGGTTTGACTCATGAACTGAGACCAGTCCCCCAGGCCCGAGGGCTCCCTGATGAGTCCAGCCGTCTCATTTCAAAGTATAGAAACTGAGATCTGGAACTGAGTGACACAAGGGGACTCTGAAGAGTACAGTCGTGCACTGACAGGGTCCCAGCAGGAAGCAGCTGGCACATTCTAGAGGGAAACTTCGAGGAGAGCACAGTGAGGGAGGTGCAGGAAGGGCGAGCAGGTACGTGCAGCCCCGCGGGTCAGCAGAGCAGCTTCCGGGCACAGAAGGAGCACTGCACGGAGCCTGTGGCCTTGGGCGGGGCATAGCCAGTGACGTGGGGAAGGGAAAAAACCCTTTTCCCCTGCCCATCTCAGTTCTCCACATGGGTCCTGTAAGTTAGACCGACAAAGAGCAACCAGAGGAAAGCAAGCCGAAGCTCACTCACGCGTGTGTGCCCTGGTGCAGCAGCACAGGGCGCCGAGCAACGCAAGGGGTGCAGCGTGCACAGCGTCCTGACAAGAGAACAGTCCATCCTTAGAGACATAACAAGATAAAAGAAAAGGACTTTGAGTTCTAGGGCGGCCAATTGTGGGAAAGTAAATACATGGGAAACTGATGGTGGAGGGGGCTAGTTTTGGCAAGGTTTTTACCTACGTTTTGGTGACATCTCTGGGCTGGTAAGGATCTAGAGTTGTCTCCAGTGATTAACTGCAGGCCTTCCTGGTAGAGGGGAGGCGGGGACCTTCAGAATGTGAGTCCTGTTTTTAGGCAACTAGGGGGCGCACAGAGCTTTTCTTGCATCTGCTGCTTCTCACTTGGCTTCACCTCAAAAACATCAGTACCTCAG